GGGAGGGGGGGGGGGGGGGGGGGGACGAGTTCTCATTGCAAGGATTCACCAGGCTCCTCCCGGCACGAACATGCGCTCTGAAGCGCCGCCAGTTCCGGCGATTCCGACATTTAGGAAATGACCATCGATAGGACGCAAGGGGAAACCGTCGACCGAGGGTTTGCATGTGGCTCTCTCGGGAGTCTTTTCTTTTGACTGCTGGCGTCCTCCTCGTAAGGTGAAATGGTTCAAATTTCAACATTGGACGATGTTCACGGGGAAATTTTTTTTTTTTTCAGTTCCATTTGATCCGTTCTGTATTTCCACTGAAACGCGAAATTCTCCTATCGAATGAGCGGCTTCGAGCACGATAGCGAAAATCTGGCAGGAAAGCATAGCGATCGCAAGCGTCATCGGTTGCTCCCGAAATCTTCACGTCAGATCGACCAACTTTTGACCGGCTTTTTGCTTTAAGTTTGGGGAGAAGGTCAGGTCCAGGTCACGTTTGATTCACCCGTGTAAATTGACGTTAATATCGTGAGTTGAGGGATAGATTCCATAGGGAAGAACTGATCTCTGTTGCCTCTTCTTCCGGCTCGCCAAGCGCGACGAGAAATGGGACTTATTTTAAATAAAAAAGTATTTTAGTAATTCTTTTGAAAGCCTCATGGTCCCTCCTCTGGGCACATTGGCAATTAAAGTGACCTTATGGGTGCTGGCAGTACGCCATTTCGCCATAAATTCAAATGAAATTAGTTGTTTATTTTGGCTATGCTTGATGGCTCCGGTCCTGTCAACAGTGTTGACAGATATTGCGCCGGAGTTAAGTCAGATTCTGACCACACTGGAGTTAGTATCGGGGTCTGGATCTTCTGCTTTTTTAAAATGCATTTACTAATTTCGGGTCGAGGACGTTAGATGAATATGATTGAGTAAATATGTCAGATCCATTTGGTTTGATGTGGAGATATTTTCAATCGGACGTTCCAAAAGAAGCAGGATGACACCAAGCTTGAAATTCATGCTTTCTAGACGCGTTCTTTCCTCACACTGTTTGGAAATTTCAGAAGTTCTTTTCTAATGAAGTTCCTGGAGAGGAAGGGGGGGTTTGGGCGGGGGGGGGGGGGGGGGGGGGGGGGGAATGATATGAGCGGAAATACGACAGAATAATCGCATATAAATAAATATGAATATGTAGATGAAAAACGTTATATATTAATACAAACAATTACTTAAATGATTAAAATTATTGCTTGATCTGTCCCCCGGCAGGATCCCCGGCGGTCGGAAATGAAGCTGCTCGGGTCTCTCCATCTCCCTCTTCTGCGCTGTTTCTTCATCGATTGTTGATGGGCGTGGCTTTCGGGGATAGCCATGGTTCCCTTTTAGCTCCCTCACGTGACTTTTAATAAAGCAATGTTTTCCATATGCTCTTTGTGTTTCGGTCTTCCATGCTCGCGCATATCCTCCTGCATCTTCCTACGAGCGAAGCGTCATCAAAATATCTCCCATTGTGCCATCTCCCTTTTAAAGTGCAGTAGACTTGAACTTACGTTTGATTGCTAGCAAGAAAAGATTCTCGACTTCGTAAGGAGGAGATTCTTGAGACATTTCTGCGGAATTTGGTAATACAAGCTAATTTTAAAGAATCAAAAATGTTCCACCATAATTTACAAGGAAAATGCTACTCAACTTATATAATTAAAACTGCACAACGGCGCAGTCGTAGGCACTATATGCAAAAATTTCTCTACAAAGATAAGTTGATATAAAACCTACTATTTCAATGAAATTGACGCTCTTTTGGAGGACTTCCTTTTCATAATAACTTTGGCGAATTTATAGCCAGTACGGTGAGGCATTTTTTTGCAATCGTTCATAATAATGCACATAGGCAATTTCATGCGTAAAAGCGCATAGGTACGTACGACAGTACTTAAGTACTTTGCGTACGCCAGTTGACATGTCCCTCGGACAGGCGTTTTCTAGTTCTCCTGACCTTCAATGAAAGTCATTCCACTGGACGTTGATCCAAAGGTTCTATGAGTTTGCTCGGCTTATTTTTCATCCAGTGAAGAGAAAGCGCTTGGCTTTCTCTTTAGTTATTCAGTTATTCAGTTAAATATTTCAGTTATTTGTTGATTTATACTGCCTGGAATTAAAGTCATTCTTAAAAGAGGTCAGTATGTGAGGGTCGCACGATAGGGATAGAGATGAAGCATTGCATCATGAAATCGGTAGGCAAATTTGGCCAACGGTGGTTTTCGAAATCCTGACCGCCTCAAATATATTTTTCCGTGTCCCCCGTGGGAAAAATTTTTTTTCGCTCGTATTAACAATGTGAACTGCCGCCCTTGGCGTGGACATGAAGGCTGAGCGTTGAAGGTGGCGTTAAAGGTTGAGAGAAGCCATCCGACCGACGTTCATCATAGGAGGGGAGAACTGTCGCGGAATCGAGTGGCATCCTCGGGCTTGGAGGATATCGAGCAACTGGCGCTGTTCGCTCGGGGACGGATTTTTAACTCTCCGACGAGAAGGGAAAGCTCTTCGTATACTATTAGCTTGGAAAAGCTCGTCGAAAAATCTTCTGTTTTCTGATGAGATGCGAGTTTTCGCATTTACCCATGATTG